ATCTTGAGTGACAATGTTTATTTTAAGTATGTATAATAAAACTTATCTTCCCCATTTTAGCATCTTGTTAAATGACTCGCAATGACCCGTTTTTTGTAATTGCAGCTTTGATATACAGATAGTTTTTTGTCCCTTTTTCCAAATATTATTCTACTAATTACTTATTTATGATTTTAAATAAATTCATGACATCATTCACCATGTTTTATATCTGCAATTAATCTAAACATCTAAACCAATGGTAACATTAAAAATAGTAGAGGCAACTTACTGGCTAACAACCGCTTCGAATGAAGCTCTCGTTTAGTTATCCTAAAAGGAGGTAAAGTTCCTTCAGGATCAACAAGCATTATAACTTAAAGAAATAAATAGGTACGGTTTAGTACGTTTCTGGTTACTTGTGCATGTGTTTGTACAGGAAAAGACGAAAACTTGAAATATGGCTTATCTAAATGACAATATTAATTTTTGTCATAATTAAGATTTAAAGTAGTAAATAAGTAGTGACACTACAGTAATTGATGAGTTAAAACGTTCAACAACTTTTAATTAAATGTCGCAATGTATTTCCTCTTCTAAATGTATTTTCCTGGCGTCTTTATTATTTATAGTTTCCCTATACTGTTGTATATGGGGTTTTACAGATAAGCGTCGACAAGCCATGAGACATGCATTGTACTATTCATGGATTAGTCAACCCGGTTCACTTGAGAATTACAATTCAACGAAGTAGTGCTAATTTCGTTTTTAAATTAAGACTGCTGACTTTGTTTTACATTAATTTCTACATTTTTGTTATCCGGCTCGAGGGACCAATTAATATACATCTTTCCTTCTACAGAGAATAACGAATGAGAAGCAATACAACGAAATTTGTTGAATGTCAAATATTTATTCTGAGACTGAACATTGTAAAAGAATGCTATCCTGGTTCGTTGTTAATTCTCATGCATAGAACAGTTTTCTGTTTATATTGGCGAATGTTGCATTTTGTTCAATTTTGATTGTTTTTATTAATTTGCTCTCACTCTCTCTATGAGGAATATTCACCCATTCTAGATACCTACGGTATCAAAAGGATTGAGCTCTGGTGGGACTCTTTCCGTGTTATTATTTTATTTTTTATTTTATAATTATTACTACCACTATCCAGATTTAGTCATATGGCTTACACCCCCTCTAAGGGAAGAATTCACTCATCCCAGATATCTACAGTATCAAAAGGATTGAGCTCTGGTGGGACTCTTTCCGTGTTATCGAGCCCTAGGTGACTTTGTATGCTGGAGTATCTCCCAAAAATTTTTTTACACATCTGGAGCGAGTAGTACAGCTTTCTGCATGGCCTTATAAAGATGTTCATTTAGACCCAGCTGTTTATGTTCCCCAAGAGGTATTTGGAAATAACACTAGTAGTAGATATAATAATAGGTACTGTCTAGGAACTTTCCATTCTCCATTGTCTCCCGATTTGTATTTCTAGATCTCTGTACTTGACTATCTTTTCATTGTATTTCAAACACTTATTATCCATTTATCACTATTACTACTATTGTTATTTTCATCCATTTTATCACAATCAAAAAATACTCATATTTCTTGTTTATCTTTATGTGTTCTTGGCATTCTTCTACTTTACCATACTGCATAGTCTATGTATGTATTTTTGTACGGATGTAATTTTTTTAATTTCATTTTCCAAAGAATAACCAAATTTTGTTTAATATAAAAATTGTGATTTAAAATTCCCAATCTGGGATTGGATAAATTTACTCCCAAACATATATTCAAAAATTAAAACATCACAAAGAAACACCTTTCCATAGTTACCCCAATAATTAATAAAAACAAAATAAAAATATTGGAAAGGTCTTTTGTGAAGTAGGATCACCAAATTTCAAGTTTTCATAAATTAAATTTGTATACATTATTGTCTCAAGAGAGACTTAAAAAACGACAATGTACATTCTACTCTTACTCTACTTAGACGTATGTGTCTGAGGTGTACAACTTTGATGGCTACAGCTCAACAAACCAAATATGACTTTCTGAATACACTCTGTATATCGATCCCTCACAGACAATTAAGAAGTGAAAGACACAGAAAAAAGAACAACATGTAAAACTGATTTAAAAACGCGAAATGACAGAAGACAATAGAGACAAAGTGAAGATCATAGGACTTTTAAAGAAGTGACAGTGGACATTTGGTAGATGGCGCCATTTTTAGTGCGCGAAAATAGAATAATACGGTTGTCATTTTTAGTCCACTATTACAATATTCTAATCACTACTGCGCATGCGGAGGGGCGTGGTTTACAATGCTATTGAAATACAAATCTGATTGAAATGTGACTTCTTAGTCACAAATAATATATTATCGTATAAGTTCTAGTTCTAGTGAATTCAGCGTTTCCAAAATCGATAAATAAGCTACCATCAGTTGCAAAACATACTTAAATAATTTTCTTCATAGTTCCAGAAAAAAAAACTACTCTAATGTGCATGAAAGTTCAAATGAAGGAAAAACTTTATGACCTGATTAGTATATCTAAAATCTTCCAGAAAATACTCGTCTTACCAAATCGAATAAAAATATTCTTTAACATTTGGAACCTCTAAAAGAACTATTATTTGGTAGCAATCTTCCTTATCCTGTGTAGAGAAATTTCAATTGCCTTCAGGTTAAAGTGCCTAGTGTACTAAATGAAACTTATTTTTGTGTATATAGGGAAATAGGACTCATTAACTGCTAACTCAATGTGAGTGTAACGCACAAGATCCAGCACATCTATTTATGTGCCTGGTCTTAATAATAGTGCTCAAGCTATGTGTATATTCGTAGACTCAGTTATAGATTCTTTATTAGAACCTTATGTATTTAACTAATTCCACGATATTATTGTTATAACCCCATATTTGGATATTACTATCAAAACGTTAATTGACAACTTTGCTTTCTATTGAAAAATTCACATAGTATATTGTGGGTAGCAATGACTTTAGTGTTATTACCTAGACGACTCTTCATTACAGTGGTTATATGGCATATAACCTTGGATGGAATCCTTCTCTTAAAATTGCCAGGTGAATAATGAAACTGTCTTGTCACAAATTTCCGAAGCCTTTAAGTCTCTCTCTTGAAGACTAGAATGAGAAGGTTATAGAAATCCTACACGGAGGTAAACCTTGTATATTTACATTATATGACCATCCAGACTGTTTTAGCTGGGTGTAGAAGATTTATGTTAACAGAATTGGCTAATTAATGACAAATAATTCACAACACAAAGACGAATCTTTGCCAGACCTTTTAATCAACTCCGTAGACCAAGGGTCTGCCCTAGGCTCGATCTTATAATGTCAATTTACCTCAGACATTCCTATCCTTCTTTACTATTATAGTAAATTTATTAATTATCATTATAAGCAATTTTAAGGTATTTTACAACTCATTACAGATAGATACATTGTATATAGTGATGTAACTTACATATATAGTTCCCATACAGTTCCAAAAGGTTGGGATGATGGACGAAACATGTGCTTAAAAAGAAAAACATTTTCCCAATTGACTCCAATTCCATAAGGTGACTGTTGAAAAGTGACCTTTTGTTGTAATTATCGTTGAAGGAAATATTTGTATTCAAGGCAGGAACTGAAGACATGCACTGTGGGAAATGTTCTGATCATCTTGGCGGGCCCATCGTGGCATTTATGGAACTACGAATCTTTGTCTCCCTTACGCATGCGGTAGAGGTTCTAAGTCAAGAAATGCATGGAAAATGGTCGAACTCATGATAAGATTAAAATATATGGTTCTCAGTGTACAGCTCTTATAAAATATGAAGAAATCGCGAATTTTAACGTGAGAAATTCAATAAGATAACAAAAAACAATGAAATAAGAACTAAATACTTTTCCAAACAATGAGGTTTTGCACCAACTCTACGAATTTTACCACTTAATAACACTGTAATCAATAAAAAGTCAAAATTATGATTAAATGAACTGAAAAAAGTTCCCACCTAGGCATTTTTCTCTAAGAAGTTAAAATTGAAGGAGAAGAATGTTAAAATATCCGAAGACATGTTCATTTTTGCAAATTTTTAACTTTCAGCCTAAATAAGAGCATCTGCCAAAATAAAGTCTGAGTAGAACGTACGAATATTGCAAGATTATTGTTATCTATTTTTCAAACGATATGTCAGTATTTTCCTTAACTGTGTATAATTTCCTAATCTTGCAATTCGTTGTCAGTCTTATGCATAGACGCACGCAACAATTTTTAACAAAAGCAAATATCTTTACCCATACATCTCGACGAGAGTGTAACGAAACAATAAATTATAATACTTACTTCGGACTAGCACTAGCGACGTTAATACATTGCATGCGTCTATGACCTAACTCTAAAACAAACTCCAACGAAGATAGAGCTTTGTCATCAAATTGCGTATAATATATATTCGTTTTCCTACTAATTCCGTCTCACGTGATCAATTACAAAACTGTAGCATTAACAAACTACCAACTTATATTTATTCAATCATACAAGAATTCAAGAAACTTTTGAATTTGGCGCCAACTTTTTAAAATGTTGCCGACAACAAAAAATGACAACTGACACATGAAACAAGTCACGAATACACGAAGAGATTAACATTTTCAAAACCAGAGGGCACAAGAAAGAGAGGACGGCCAAGAAGGAGATGGTCTGGTGTTTAAGAAGACCTACAGATTGTAAGGGTCAGAATATGAGGAGAAGTTGCCAGGAATCGACAGGAGTGACTTCTTTGTGAGTAGGCCGCAATTGTCGAGCCACTTATGATGATGAAGATGACACTTTAAAGTAACTAAACAGGTAATGTTAAACGAAAGAACAACAGGTTTTTATTATGGAGCTATTCTAAATATAGTCAAGAGTGAGTATATTCTAATAGTGATATAACTTATAATCTAAATATATAATAGTGATATAACTTTAAAAAATCATCAGGGACTCACAATTCCTTCAATAAAAAGCATAGGGCAGTTCGTGAAAGTGTAGCTTTACTGATATTTTCATTAAATACTTAAAGATAACTGAAGTGTTCAAATTATGGATTGCGAAGAGACTGCGAAGAGTGGCGAGAATAATTTTCATCATTAATGGTTACATTAATAGTAAAATTATTGCAGTTTTGGTTTATAAAATCCAGACAGACGAACAGTAGTCAAACAATAGTTTATGATGCTCGCCATGGAGATCTGATAACCAAGTTTTTTAGGTTAAGTTGATAGACTTGTCAATGTTCTATCATTCGGATAACAAATTTGAACAGCTGATCGATGACGTGAAACGGATTTAGCAGGAAAAAATCCTATAATACATATAAAATAGTATCAAAACATTTAAAACATGTTAAAAAGTCAAGTCTTCTTTAGATCAACCGTTATATTGTCAGTCTTAAACTTTAAATACTTAAGTGGTAACATTGGCATGTAGAAGTTTTCAGCTGCCGGTTTTTTGGCCTTGTCCTGTGTTTTGCTCGGACTCATGACGACGTAATCCGATTCCGTGGTGAAGATCTTCGATATTTTTGAGAGGTCTTGAGCTGGCATGGTGTTGGCGCGAGGTTTTAAACTCGAAACGAGCTGCTTTTGTAACGTATTGTTTTCTGAGTTGATCCGAGTCCTACTGAAAGAAAAATTTATGTAAGCATATATAGCATTTTTCCAGTATTACCAAATGTATAATGTGCTTTCTAAACTCAGATCTATCCTCGGATAACAAGTTTTGCATATTTTATGAAAAAATTTTGGAACTATTCGATAAAGCATTTCCTTTGCAAACGGTGAATACTAGACGATTTTCTAAACAGTCTAAAAACAAGGGATGGTTGACTTCTAATTTAATAAATGAGGGAGATTTTATTAGAGACATTTTCAGATCTATAAAATATTCAGAAAGTCATGAGCTCAGAATACGGTATAACATTCTAAAAAAAAATCATGAATACAAAGTTAAGTTAGCCAAGCAAACTTATTTTAATGTCGGAGGTAAAAAACGAAACTCTTCGAAATGCCCAAGTAATTTTAAAAATAATTTGGGAATTTCTGTGGATGACCCTCATGACATAGCTGAATCTTTTAGTCAACATTTTTCGAATTCCGTAAAAAATTTAGTTAGTCAAACTTCACTTGACTATAATCCTAAGAGTCTTTCTTCGCCTATACACCCCCTTTTCCTTTATCCTGTTAGTGATGAAGAAATAAAGAGTATAATTAAAGATATCTCAAAAAAATCCTCTGCTGGACTGGATGAGATCCCGTATTCTATGTTATTACATGTATCTCATAACATATATAAACAATTAACATTTCTAGTAAACCTTTCATTTCAGGAAGGGATTTTTCCTCAAATTCTAAATACTGCTCTAGTTGTGCCTATACATAAAAAAGGTGACAAATCAAAATTTGATAACTATCGAGGCCTATCACTTTTATCTGTGCTTTCAAAAATATATGAGAAGGCATTTCATACACGTCTCCTCTCATATATTAAAAGGCACAACATTATAGAAAAGTCTCAATTTGGTTTCCGTGAAGGTATAAGTGTGCAAGATGCACTACTAGCGCTGTGCAATCATATTTTATCGAACTTTGATAAGGGTAATAAAGTTATCTGTTTGTTTTTTGACTTAGCACAAGCTTTTGAAACTGTAAATCATCCAAAACTGCTGGAAAAACTTTATCATAGTGGTGTTAGAGGAACTGCGTTAAAGTGGATCCAAACCTTTTTATCAAAAAGGTTTCAAAAAGTTAAGGTTAATGTGAATGGAAATATAATATTTTCTTCAGAAGAAAGTGTTCTCTCCGGAGTTCCACAGGGAAGTATCATTGGCCCTCTTTTATTTTTGATTTTCGTTAACGATTTAAATCAACTGATAAACGATAGCTCAACATGTTTGGTTCGGAATCCATTGGATAATTTTTCTGATGCAATAAGCGTTCGAGGAGAAAACTTGGAAGCAAACTGTCTTGTAAAAAGTATGAGTCTTTACTGTTTAAATAATGCCCTAATCTTAAATGGATCAAAGACCAATATGGTAACCTTTTCACCTTCTACTATGAAGATGAGTCCATTAGTAAGGCTTGACAATGGGTCTGTGGTAAATAGCCACTCCACCAAGTTGTTAGGTGTTTATCTGGATTCTAATTTGTCTTGGAGTTCTCACGTTGATTATGTAGTGGGAAGATTGTCTGTACACTGTTATGTTCTATGGCAACTTAGGAATTTTGTCTCCCTAGAAATCTTGAAACTTTACTATTTTGCTCATGTACAGTCAATTTTGCAATATTGCTTAGTTTGTTGGGGAAATTGCTCACGTATTAATGAGGTGCTTATTCTTCAAAAAAAAATTATTCGTACCATGACGTTTAGAAGGCGCTTGGATTCCTGTAGACCAATTTTTAAACAATTAAATATTTTAACTGTAATTTCGCTGTATATTTTCAGTTGTGTTGTATATGTAAAGTTACATAGATGTAATTTTATTTGCAGAAATGATGTTTCCTTAATGAGTGGCTAAAATTTTCGTTACAGAAATGATTTGGTGACCCCTGCTCGTCACTTGACTGTAGTGGGCAAGGGTCCTTACCCAACATGTGTTAGTTTGTACCTAATTATGTTTAAGAGTTAAATATTTATGTATTTAAAAGAACAGTTAAGAAATTACTTCTGGCAAACACTTTCTATTCGTTAGAGGAATACTTGCAGGCATCTTTTTAACAATTTGTATGTTTTTGTGTATATTTTATGTTTTATGATTGTGCTTATAGTTTTTACTTTTTTTACTACCTATGTACCTATAGTTTTTTAGATTGTATTTTGACGCATTTCAATACTTGTAAAAGTCAGATGAAATAAAGAATATTGATTGATTGATTGATTGATATAATTTAATTAATTAATGCAAATGCACACATTTTACGAGCTGTCATGTATCAAAAATAAATATATTATATACTTACTTTATCCAGGTAAAATCTAGAGACCTTGGAGGTAAAGGAGGCGGTGTAAAAAACGATTTCCTTAGTTCTACAATGACATCTGCAGGGTTTTCGTAAACGTGGCTAGTATGTTTTGAATGTGATGTAGTTTTACGCTCGTAATCGTCTGGTATCTCTTCGTATATCCCTGATGCCAAGGAAATGCCTGATTCGTTTCTTGGAATATTACCTTTTCTGAAAGGAGAATCTTAAATTTAATTCACAAATATTACGTGACGGTTTATAAGATTATGTTCTCCTAAACTGCCCCTGGGAGATACATCTTGGGAGAACTTTTGTTTTGGATCATAAAAAATCGCTTATTTCAGAAACATCCTAAATCAAATTTTGGCGATTTTGAGTTTATAACACCAACATGTATTTCTGTCGGTTGCACACAAGTTAATGCAGAATGCACCTAAGTCCCGCAAGCATAGTTGATTTTATATCAATTTAAAATATTCGTATATTTCTGAAACCACCTTAGTACCGGACTAAGGTTGTTTTTGCACTAAATTTTCAGTTGTCATTTTGCATATCCACTTTTACCAAAACCTATAAAATGTAATATTTCTATTGTTGAAAAACAATAATATTTTAATATTATTATGAACAACGATCAACCAATTACCAGTGCCGAAAACGCTAAGGATAGAGAGCCCGCTACTAAAAGGCGTAAGGGAATTAGGGAATCGGATGAATATTAGCGTAATGATATCAGAAACTCTTAGCTACATTTTTGCTACAAAAATAAGGCCATGGAAGCAAAGCAAATGGGAGCTCAGTGCAGGTAAAACAATAAAAATATATTTTTGAGTTTGTAAATTACATCTTTTAGGTGTCTAGTAAACGAAGATCAAAGGAAGATTGTTTTTGGTAACATTTACGGTATGGCAACATAAAACGAGCAGGATATACACTTCATCTAATTTATATAACGATGCACGTCATCGGCGTCATAGCCTGTGACGTCATATGATACCAACACGAAATATTTAGGGTTTGGGTGTGTTCTTTTTAGAATCACTTTACCGAGTACACTGGCATTACAGCCACTAGACATATTTTATTATATACGCGTTGAAATAATATTTAAAAATTTCTATTAATATTAACTTAAAGAAATACACAATAATATGTTTCATTTAATTTGTATAAATCCATTATAAAGAGTTTTTATCAAGAACATTTGTTCGGAACACACTGTAACTGTAATCGAACGAAGGTAAAATTTTGGCATAAATTGGTAACACTTATTTGACAGTAGCGGTGTTGACACTTTTTGTACTTTATTATTCTAAATTTTAAAGTGAATACCTCTTGTTTTATATTTTTACCTATTTAATAAAATCTATTCTTTTTAGAACAAAATTAGTGTGTTTTATTTCAAAAATGTCACGTAAGAATTTAAATAGTCGTTGTAAAGAGATGGTAATACTTTTGCAATAATTATGTGACCTATTTGATTTAAAATGGAGTCAGGATTTTTTTATACTTTAGTATAAAAGTATAATTATATATATATATATATATATATATATATATATATATATATATATATATTATATATATATATATATATATTAAGTATATATCTATCTACAAGAATTAATAGAAGTAATGGAGGTGTCTAGAAGAAGAAAACGCAATGAAGGAGGTAAAGATAGGACAAGAAGTTACAAGCTCTTTGTTAATATTGATTAGATTAAAACAAATATGCGAAGGTGCTTTTTTAACTATTAACGCCATTGGAAAAGAAAGGCTAAAGAGAATTAAAAGACTTGTGGTATGTGGTGTGATACCTACAGATAAAAGGGGAAAAATATGAAAGGGAGAGACATAACCATCTCCAAGGCAGACGAAGACCTTTTGCTTATATTTGAACGAAGGATCCTGAGAGGAATATTTGGTGGCATCTGTGAAAATGGTGTTTGGAGGACAGAGATACAACTACGAGGTATACCACAGATATAAACAAATATTTGGTGGTAAAGACGTAGTATCTCTTATAAGAATAGAAAGATTAAGATGGGCAGGACATCTAGCAAGATCACAGCAGAACAACCCTCCTAGAAGAATCCTTATGTCACAACCCGTGGGAAGCAGAAAAAGGGGTAGGCCAAAACTCAGATGGAAGGATGGTGTAGATGAGGATGGTAGAAAGATAGGCGCAGCAAACTGGCAACGGTTGGCAATGGATAGGACTGCCTGGCGTAATAAACTTGGGAAGGTCGAGGCTCTTTCATAGGGCTGTAGCACCATTGATGATGATGAATATAAAAGGGAACATTATTGATGCTGGAACTAGGGAACTAATCCGTAGCCACGTTACTATATTTCCAGTCAAAGAGTCTCATTACTTTGGTAAGGAATTTAAGTAGTTAGACGCAAAACTTAGTATAAAAATAATGCACGAATTATTTATTAAAAAGTATGATGAACGTACAGTGAAATACAGTTACTACTTTCACTTTTAGTGAAACTGTTCAGATAGACTCTCAAAACGTTTTTTTCATCTCCTGCAAACTGTCCGAATATGACTTAGGTTGTTTTTGAAATAAGCGATTCTATTGGTTCTTTAGTAAATAAATGTTTGGACATCATCTATACTTACGAATTTGTCCCAACAAGGTCCAAAGAGGAATCTTCTGTTTCGCTACCACCAGGTGTTTTTGTTACTTCATCCATTCCCATATTAATAAGACTTGAAGCATCCTAGGAATTTAATATTTGTTAAAAAATTATTATTTTGTAAAAATGCAGATCTATGAGGAAGTAAATGCATGTTTTATAGAGTATCGAAAGGTATTCCGATACGAATTGAATTGGCCACAACGGAATTATTTCCTAGCAACAGTTCGTCATATAAATCTTTCGTTAAATCGAACACTTACCTTGCCTTTGGCAACGTATTCTGAATCATCGGAAACAATAGACGCTCTTATACCAGAATCCTCGCTGCCAGTTTGGCTTCTTAAACATACAGGACTCTCGGCATGGAAGGAGTTGTTGAAGGCATTGACGAGATCCCCCTCGCTTCGACTCAAACGATTCTTGGTCTTCGGAAAATGTCCTCTAGATACGAGGTGGTGTAGAAGACTGGAGGCTTGCTTACAGTAGAGTAGAATTAGTCCTGGACCGGCAGGAATTCGCTGAAAAAGTTATCATGATCTTAGAAACTGAGAAATGTACACTGAACCAATTCACTTTTACACAGCGTCGCTGCACAATTTGGTTTTAATGACTAAGATTACTCAATATAAAAAGTTGCAACAGTTATGAAGGAACCACTGAGATACTGCCCCCACAAAAAACTTCCATTGGGACAACTTTTTTGAGGGATGTAAAACTCATTTTTTTTGGTAATTTTAATGCTGTAATCAATGTTCAAAACCTTCCGGCAAAATCAAACCATTATTTTCAACTTAAGTTTGAATTGCCAAAAGGAGCCAATTTGAAACCTAATACAAAATGCTCTCTTTGCATGTAGTAAAATTTTATTTGTCTCGGCTATACAGGGTGTTTCAAAAAAGGTAACCCCGTCTCTAGGGTAGGTAAAAAACTGAAAAATAATTGGGGTTTGCTTGGTAAAAAATGTTTGTAACGCCATCCGTTTTCAAGATACAGGGCGTTGAAGAAAAAAAAATTTAGCATTTTTTACGATTTTGCCGAAACTACTGGCAACATTGTAATGAAATTTTATACGAATATGTTTTGGAAGCTGGTACATCCCATGAATTTGTTTTTATCTCTGATTCTCATAAAGGGCGCTAGTTACACGGATCGTACTAAATATTAGTCAATATAACTTTTTTAAGAGTATAATTATTAATCAAAATTTCAAGTAAACTTAAACATCATTCAATGTTACACGAAAAAGGTACTCTTGGTAAAACTCGATTCTGTGTACCGTTTTCGGAATATTTTGATTTGAAGATTATGAAGTAATAATTGATGCTGGTATAAAATAGTTAGTAATTAAACAAAACTAACAAGAAGAAAATTAAATCAATGACTAAGAACATAAAATAAAATTCAATTGGAGTAAGTGTTCAAAATGCCCTCCGTAAAAATTTCATTAACCTTCTAAACGGTAGGGGATCAGCTATGATGTCATTAAATTGACGTTGACATATTTCTTTCTTCCAATTCTTGGCGTGAATTTACCTCTGTAGCATAGACTTTTTCCTTAATATACGACCAAACTGCGTAGTCCAAAGGGTTAAAATCACATGACCGAGAGGCCAATGAATCGGAGCTTCTGCACCTCTACCAATGCCATCGATTCGAAAATGATTACTCAACCAATTACGACACCTTCTATCAAAGTGTGGTGGAGCTCCATCGTGCATAAAAAATAAAGATCTTCGCCCGTTTAGCGTTAAATCTTCTAATATCTCGAATAAGAAATTGTTTAAAAAATCAAGATACATATCACCATTTAAATTTCCAGGTAGAATATGATAACCTATATTTTTTTACCTAAAGTTGCTGCCCAAACATTAACTTTAAATGAGTGTTGGTAATGTGATACCCTTTTGACTCGTGGATTCTCATCACACCAGTAGTGTGCATTATGGGAGTACATACCTTGTCGCGTAAAGGTGGCCTCGTCCGTAAAAAGAATGCATTTTAAAAATTTGGATTGTGGGCTGTCCTTTGTGGCAATGTTTCACAAAAATCCACTGTAACCTGTAGATCATCTGGCAAGAGCTCTTGGACTTGTTTGTAATGATAAGGATGTAATTGCTGTTCTTTCAATATCCGCCTAGTACTTGAAGCAAGAAGTATTTGTTTGTCTTGCTATATTCGCTTACGCTAACTGTTGGATCTTGATCAAGTAAATTTAAAATATTATTTTCTTCATTAATCGTTTACCCTGTTACCCTGTGTTTCTTTATTAATTTATAAAAGCAAAACCCCAATTATTTTTCAGTTTTTTACCGACCCTAGATTATTTTTCAGTTTTTTACCTACTCGTAGAGAACGTGGTTACCTTTTTTTTGAAACACCCTGTATAGTCAAAGTCTTTATCCCAACATGCTCGCTCTCCAGTATCCATTTTGCGTCGTGGAGAACTATTAAGTCTCCTTCTATTTCCATTTTGAGATTACTTGGACGGTATTTTGACCTCTTGCTCATTTCCTGGTATGTTTGTTTCGTTATTGATCTCATAGACGTACATTCCCTAGATGTTTTTGTTTATCAGCGTCTTCAGCTCAGAATCAAACCCCTTTATTAATAAATTAGCAAGGACAAAATACAACACATGGGAATTGGGGCTCTTAGCACATTGATCTTAGTTTACTGAATACTCTTCAGTTGAGTCTTTATATTTGAAAAGTCCCATTGCTCTGGATTTTTGTTTGTATTGTATGCAACTATTTTTGGACGAAACATCTTGTCATCACTGTATTGATATCTTAAATTCTCTCTTATCAACTTAATGTCATTATCGAGCCTCACATGATTTAATCTTTATAGTAGATAGATTGTTTATTGGCCACTTTGCAAAACATATTTTGCAAAAGTCCGTATACAAAAACACAATAAAAATATAATGAAATACAAAATGCAAACATAATATAAAAAATATTGCGAAAAAGTGATTTAGTAAAAATATTTGTTTGTTGAAAATTGCTAATATTGACAGAAAAGTCACTAACCGAATAAAAACAGTTTTCCACAAGAAAGGATATTGTGAAATTAAGCATCTGAATATTTTTCATATTTTTTATAATGTTACCTTTAAAAAGCTGATTAAATTTAGTGTTAGATTCACTTTGTTCAATAATTTTTGTAATTTAATAATTTGAAAATATTTTACCCTCCTCAAAAAATAATTAAAATTGTTCTTCTGAAATTGATAGAACTTCTTTTTAATGAAAGACATCTAAATCGGGATGTAAGTCACATGTGGTACATTATTGATTTGATGGCAAAGTTGTCCGGTGGTAAATAAATGAAGAAATAGTATGTACTAAGCGAGAAAACTCAAAAACTTCTTTTTGGAATATTTTGTTGCAGACCCACCAGCTCCATACGAACAGTAACCGAACAAAATAGATGTCAAGGAATTAAGAAGAGTCCTAAAATGCATGTTTGATTTCAAAATGCAGATACTTCAAGGTCTGTGTCGATGGTTTTGATAGCATATAGTTTGCACAACGTCCAAAAAGTTAGTATACTAGTATTCTCAGAAATTACTGAGCCTTTACTTATAGAAGAAAATTTGACAGGGACCTGAATGCGGATGGTATGTCGTGAACTGGGTCACTGTAAGGATCCAAATCAAACTTAAATGATTTAACAAAATGACGGTATTAGATTTTGATTTGATACATGAGCAGCAACAAGCCGCATATACGTATTTCGATCTCTTTCCATAGAGTAGTAGCTATACCGTACTGAGGAGATCTAAAGAGATCGAAATACGTATATGCGGCTTGTTGCTTGCTCTGTATCAAATCAAAATCTAATACCCGTCATTTTGTTTTGTTGATTTACTTCATTTGAATACCAGAAATCGGAATTCACTACGAATATAGGCCATGATGAACGGCATTTGGAGTGCAGATTTTTAGACTCCCTTGCCGATTCATTCACCCAAGCTGTTTGCTTCGCAAGTTTAGGGAGCACGGCGCTTATATTTGAATTCGATTTCTCTTTTTGTTAAATGATTTACCACTATTTGTTAATATGCCACATAGAATCCCTTCAGGAACGCTTGGAAAACATTCTTACCTGCTGGTATGCATAACAATCACCCTCCGGTCATCTTCAGGCTGTAGAGGAGCCTGAAGATGGAACTGATGAAACTGAAACCATTTCCATGTAATTTTGGGCTCTCCTGTGCAAGGATCGTTTATACTCAAATCCTGTTGATTGATGCTCAAAACACCGAAGGTTCCTAATAGGCCAGCTGCTCGTGAATGATGGTTGTCGACTAAGGAGACACGGAAGTTTGAGTTGTCAACTGAAAGAAGACTTTTTATGTATTAAGACAATTGTTCCGAAATGCATGTATATTATCAACAAGTTAGTATTTCTGTATGTAGGTATGTATATAATATGGGCTAAGCAATATTTATTATATATTAACTTTGTCAAAAATTATTTTAATCACTAGAAAATGAACATAAAAAATTATAGTTAAAGAATAGTCTCAAAAAATATATACAAAAATTAGCATATAACACAAATAAACAAATATTTTGTTGGTTTTTTAAAGAATATTTAATTTTTTTTTTGATTTGACAAAGTTTTCCGCGTAAGAATGATATCCCCTATAACAAATCGGTAAATTGTTTTAGTTATTTGGATTTTTATATTAAATTGTAAACAATTATTTCATAATGTAAAAGTGATTTACATACCAATATATATTTCATAATGAACTAATCTATTTTTAATAACGTTGTTTATAAATGAATTATGAAGCAATAAAAACGTTTTGTGTATTTAGATAAAACTATAAACTAGACTTTTAGTTGATTTTAATGCGATAATACAAATAGAAATTAGAAATATTAAAGTTTTCGTTTTATTTTTACTCGTGCAATATTTTTGCTCTGAGTAAACCTTCTTTTATCTCTGAATATCCACCAATTCTTTTGTTAACCTTCGATATTTTGATAATAAATAATCCCAATAAACGAATAGAAAATAATAGTAATGCTGTAAAGTTTTACTTCATTTTAAGTGTTTTATAATATGGTGTATATAGCAAACCACTGGGAGTTTCCCTTTTAATTTTTTTCCTTTGTTTATATTTCTTATGTCCATCCAATAATGTCAAAATCTCCTGGGTGATCCATTTTTGCTCTTCCTGTTGGTCATTTCTATGAACATACTAACACCAATGGATTTTTTTCTATCCTTAACAATACAAGAAACTTTATGTTCATCTTGAAATACATTACGTATGCGCGAATATTTTTCTAATCTAATCTATCGATAAAAGCATAATATAGAAAGGGTTATGATGGTTATGAACACTTTTCTGAAAATAACATCTGGCACTATATACATTACATAAACTGTTGAATAATATTTCTTGGAAAATGCAAGTTGTACTGACAAAATCAATTTTTTGCTTCCTAGAGTTCTATTTTTAGCTTTATAGCAAGTTGTGATATAATTTTACAACCAATAATATTACAAAGTTAATACCAATACTAATAGGAATTACATGAAATAACACGGCAGTGAAAAAATTAAGCCATTAAGACATTGTTTTTCTATAATCTTTGTCAGTTGATGTTGATTTACGATTCTGATTAATACTTTTAATTACTAGTAATACTTTTTGTTATGTTTCTATTCCATCACAACTATTATTAATATTAATTGTTTATAGTCCATGTTTTTAGGTCATTCAGACGGATAAACTGAATTTAATTTATAATTAATATATTTGAACCTTTCTTCAAGGGCAACAATTTCGATCAGTTAATGTGTTATCCTGAAATAAAAATTGTAAATATTTTTTTTTATTTACATAAAGTACTTCGACAACTGGTTCCAATAGAGATTTCTCACTATATTAATGTCATTTTTATCAAGTCCTTTTCTCTTTAGACATTCCATGAGAATGTTATGTTTAACTTTGTCGAAAGCTTTCTCATAGTCTATAAACGCAACGAAAAGATCTTTTTGTTGGTCTCGACATTTTTGGGCAAGAGTTTTGAAACTGTACAGAGCTTCCTGGGGAAGATAATATCCCAATTGAAATAATAAAGATATTACTAGACGAACACATCGAAGTAATGGAAGATATATTTAACAAAATATACGAAACAGGCAAAATACCAATGATTGGCTGACATCGGTGTTTATACCACTACCAAAGAAGAATAACTCCAAGAAATGTGAAGACCATAGGATTATTAGCCTGATGAATCATATGTTGAAGCTTTTCCTATGAGTAATACACAATAGAGTATACCATAAACTAGACGAACACACTGGTCAAACTCAGTTTGGTTTTAAGAATGGGTTCGGAACAAGAGAAGCACTTTTTTCAATACGTGTGCTAGTTGAAAGATGTAGAGATGTCGATTCTGATGTATACTTGTGTTTTATAGACTTTCAGAAGGCGTTTGACCTGCTGAAACATGATAAACTAATAAATATTTTAAGGTCATGTAATATCGACGATAAAGACTTAAGGATCATTTCAAACCTCTACCAAGAACAAAAGGCTAAAATCAGAATAAAAAGCGAAACATCTGGAAAAATCAATATCGAGAAGGGAGTAAGACAGAGATGTGTCCTATCACCTTTGCTGTTCAATGTTCACTCTGAGAAGATATTTCAGAAAGCTTTGGAAGGCACCACGGATGGTATAATTATAAACGGGCAATGTATAAATAACCTGCGATATGCTGATGACACTGTCATACTGGCAGATAATGCTGAAGCCCTGCAACGCTTAATGGACCGAGTAACGACAGCCTGTAGATAATTTGGAATGAAATTGAATACAAAGAAGACAAAAACGATGGTCATCAGCAAGCACCAAAATAGAAGGGTGAAGGTCAATGTCGACGGAACAGATCTGGAAAGAGTAACAAGAACAACGTACCTTGGAAGTAATCTTGATGAAACTTGGGACCAATCACTAGAGATAAGAATACGCCTGGAAAAGGCACGTACAATGTTTTACAAAATGCAAAAAGTTCTATGCAACCGCCAGCTGGGCATCTCATTGAGAACTAGAATACTTAAGTGCTATGTTTTCTCCACCTTGCTCTATGGTGTTGAAGCCTAGACAATGACAGAAACAACACAAAAAAGAATCCAAGCATTTGAACTCTGGTGTTACCGTAAAATGCTCAGAATATCCTACATGAGCCATACGACAAATGCGGAAGTCTTGCGGAGGATGAATAAGGAAAGAGAGCTTATGCTTATAATAAAAGAACGGAAAACACAATATTTTGGTCACATCATAAGAAATCAAAAGTATGAACTGCTCCAACTTATAATCGAAGGCAAAGTCAATAGCAAAAGAGGACCAGGAAGAAGACGCAACTCTTGGCTTAAAAACCTACGGCAATGGACGAACATGACCTCCATAGAACTATTCAGGGCTGCTACAAATAAGATTAAATGGGCAAATGTAATGGCCAACGTCCTTAAGGATAAGGCACTGTAAGAAGAAGAAGACAGAGCTTCCACTGTTCCGAAGCCGTTACAAAAGCCAAACTGTCTATTACTCATATCCGCTTCGCAGTTTCTGAATATTTTTGCATGTATAATCTTTAAAAATGTTTTTATATTTGTTCGTGATTTTCCCACTTCGTGATTTTCCCAATTTTTTTCACTTTTTATTGTAAATTATAATGATCGCACTTTTCCTTAGCCTCTTTTATTTTGTTCCTTATTAATTTGTGTTTTTCTCTGTACTTTATTTGGGTTTTTGTTTCTATATTTTCTTCTTTATTCCATCATTTCTAGTATTTCTCGAGTCATCTAAGGTCTTCGGCTTTCTGTTTTCTTTTGTAGTGTTTCTTTTTGTGTTTTTATAACAGAATCTTTGATTTTGCACATAATATTTACATTCTCAGTGTTTTTCATTTTTGGTGTTAATTTCTTCATTTCTTGATTGATACAAGTTGAAGCCTCAGCACAAATTTTATTTATCTTGAGTAACTGAGTATTCACCTTAGAACTTTTTGATTTTATTATCTTTTTTACCCTCAGTTTCATTTTTGAGACAAGAAGGTTATGGTCTGAGGGGACATCTGCTTCAGGAAAAGTCTTAACGCTTACAATGGAATTTCTAAATCTTAGATTGGTTAGAATAAAGTCGATCTGATTTCCAATGCAATTTTGTTAATTATCCCGTGGTGACCTCCAGTTATAGAGTCTATGGGGTGGTAATCGAAACCATGTGTTCATAATCGCCATTTGTCTTCTAGGGTAAAATTAACTGAGCTCTGAAAAGTTTAAGTAAATAAACGAATATTTTTGTTTTGTATTTGTTTCAATGCGCTATAATATGGATCAAGCCGGTCCTGTTGATACTTCTTGATGTTACAGAACTTGTGAAAATCATACCAATCATTTTACATTTGTATTATAAACGCCAAAAACCGATCATTACAAATAATATTTTCCTATAAGCTCCACACTCATAACATTATTTTAAATATAGAACGAAAACAAGCACAACAAGCAAAATACTAGGAATATGTGGGTTACACCTACCTGCCATTATTTTTAGACCTCATTAATATGACGAAAGAGGTTTACTACTATTGAAAAACAAAATTTATCATCTACACAACAGTGTAGATGTCTCAAGTCATATCTCTGCATCTTTGGAATAATACCTGTAGACTAAACAGTGCATCTCTCGTACCTACGCCTTTCATGAATCCAAACTGTGTGTCTTGTATTCTCTCTTCGCATAGCTTGTATATTCTGCGATGTATAATTTTAAGAAAAAGTTTTAATGTTTGGCTCATTAGACTTATTAGCCCATATTCTCCGCACTTTTTCGCTCCCTGTTTCTTTGGTAACGTAATAAATTCTGAAACTAGACCATTTTTTGGAATATTGCCTGTGTCATAGATATTCTTATTAGAGTATTCTTAAAGATTCATCATCAAGAAGCTTAAGAAATTCAGACTGTACTTCGTCTGGTCCTAGAGCTCTCCCTTCTTTTGGCTGCTCTTATTTCTGCCAGTAGTATAGGTGGTCCTGTTTCCGTAGGTATTGAGGACTGGTTATCCCTCTCACCGTAATTCTTCGGTTCTTTTTTCGAGCAGTAATGTGAATGTAATGATAATATTTCCAAAATATCGGTATTTAAATTTTGGTCGAGACAGGGCTTTTCTGGAAAACGATGCCAAATGGGACTTACATACCGGCAGAGGAGAAGACGATGCTAGGTCAACCGATGAAAGATAGATTAACTCTTTTACTTTGCGCCAATGCGAGTGGCGACTGTAAAATCAAACCTCTTCTAGTGTACCGTTCAGAAAATCCCAGAGCAAGTCACATAAGGTTTTAAAAGAAAAAACTGCCAGTTATGTGGATGGTGTTACAAGAGGATGCCTAGAATAGCATGGACACAGAAGAAAACTAACACGGAAGTATTGCGAGAAATGGGCAAAGAATGCGAAATAATAAACACGATAAAAATAAGAAAGTTACAATATCTGGGATACGTAATGAGGGGGCAGCGATATGAACTGCTAAGGCTGATAATACAGGGAAAGATAAGAGGAGGAATGTGTATAGGAAGAAGGAGAGTGGCATGGTTGAAGAACTTAAGGGACTGGTTTAAATACAGTTCTATAGAACTCTTCAGAGCAGCAGTAGATAGAGTAAATATAGTGATGATGATATCCAACCTCCAATTGGGAAACTGCACTTAAAGAAGAAGATATGGAGGGCAAATCCAAAAGCGTGGATCATCAGGAAATTCTTTGTGAAGTGGATAAACTTGGTGTTTGCTCCTTTTGTTAAAAAATATCTACAGCAAAACAACCTACCCATGAAATGCCTTCTTGTCCTCGATAATGCCCTTCTCACCCACCAAATCTCGAAGATGATTTACTCCAAGAGTTCAAATTTATAAAGATTCTCTACCTACCACTCCTAACTTGCAGCCCATGGATCAGCAAGTGATTTCTAATTTTAAGAAGTTGTATACCAAGCACATTTTTCGGCGCTGCTTTGAGGTGACGGAGAACACAAACCTTACCCTTCGAGAGTGCTGGAAGGACCACTTTAACATAGTAATATGCTAAGAATTATTGAGCAGGCCTGGCTAGGTGTTACAACAAGGACCTTAAACTACGCATGGAAGAAGCGGTGGCCTGAGGGTGTAGGTGAAAGGGCCTGCGAAGTACTGGAATCCGAAGTGTCAGTGGTAGATGAGATTGTTTCTCTTGGAAAATCCATGGGTCTGGAGGTGGATGAAAGAGATGTGATCGAACTGGTCGAGGAACAGTCTCAGGAGCAGACAACCGAAGAGTTAGACGAACTACATTCACAGCAACATACGGTGGTCCAATGAAAAATTAGTTTTGAAGAGGAGCCCGAATTGAAAGACGTTGTCTCTACAAGGGAAGAAGAAACAAACCTCCTTGGACAGTTTTTTTAAACGATCTGCAGATGAAAATGAGCAAAGTGTGACGAAAAAAGCGAAGACCACTGAGGAAAATTAAGCGCTTTCTTAAGCTCTTCACTTTTCTTATGTTTTACAGAATATGTATGTATTTTTTGTTATTTATAAATAAATATTTCTTCTTTTAAATACATTTTTCTTATTTAAACAAAAACAACTATAAAAACGTGTTTTTTGGGGACTAGAAGGGATTAATGACATTTCAGTTAATTTCAATGGAGAAAATTGCTTTGACATACGAGCAAGATTACGGAACGAATTACAATTGTATGTCGAGGTACCACTGTATTTGTTTTTCCAGTGTTTCCAAACATTTTAGTTTCATAAATATATTTGAAATGGGACAATGTGAAAAAAATCAACAAAACCATTATCAACAATCAAGTAATCAATAAATTAATGACGGCGTTTGATTAGATTAAAAAAAACCTTTTTGTAAAATACACAATATACCTGCGTGAAGTGCATTTTTAAAAACCCAACATCAACGCTTCAAAGAAAATAAATAATGCAAATACGATTCTTGGAAATTTCAATATGGGGAAATTTTATTTACCTATTCAATTACTAAAAACAGTAAGTTTCTCTTAATTGTTTGTCTTTTATGAATATACGAGATTTACGACTGTTAATGTATTTTTACTTTTAAATGTAACCGTCAGTTTCTAAGCACTTGTTAATATTTAATTAATGGACGAATACAAAATAGTTTTCTTGAAAAATTGTTCTTATATAAAGTTTATAAACATTAAAGAAAACAAAAGTAGGTTATCAGTTGCAATTTAAAATGTCTTTAAGGATGTTGGGTAAATGGTATTTAATTCTGTGACGATTGAACTTTTCGCATTCTTTCACTAGCACATGTTTTACTGTAAAGGGTGACCCGCACTCATCACAAATTGGCCGTTCTCCTTTTTTTAAACAATAAATAATTGCTATTTGCAATTATATATAAATAAATATATAGAAATAAATATCTGTGTTCGTCTGGATACCTCAGATAGTTGTCATGGCCCAATCATTTTTATCTTCTGCAGCTTTGATGGTGAGGATTTCCAGTTGGTGAGGTTCCAGTTGTCTAACAGATGCTTCATAAATGAGTTTTTCAGAACCATACTTTTAGATTGATGTGACATGGGGATACTGTTATCGTTTTTAACTTGTTTGGCATTCCTGTCTGCTGCTTCCTTAGCTGCTATTCCAATATGTGATGACACTCAGAGAAACTTAACGCTAAATCTTCAGTATTTAGTTCTTCTTTTATTAGTAACGCTAATGGATGCTTCTAGTACTTTGTATGCGTGTGTATTTTCCTGATTATGTCTAAAACGCCGTCTATACTCTCGATCGAAGTACTTCGGACGAAGTGAAGTTAATCGTGGCAAGGTGACTCTACATATCCGAATAATATAATAATAAAAATAGTTCTTACCTGGAATGTATGAAGCAACCGCAAGCATTCTCCTGAGAGTCAACATCCATTCCTGAGTCTGTGTCTCTGAGCTGCCGTTCAAAAATATGAGAGGTTTCTGCTTTCCTTCCGAGATTAAAGACTCCAAATGCGTACTGCTTAGTTCGAGACTCTGTTCGACATATTGTGGAAGACCTGGGTAATATGAAGCAATTTAGAATGTTCCCTTCTTTGCAAGATCTCAGTTTCAGTTCAATGCCGTTTTCTATGTTATCCAGACGGTTGATTTCACACCATTGCTTCTTCCAGGTCTGTAACAAAAAAAAAATCTGTAACTTTATAGTACTTGATAGGAAATAAGGAGGCAAAAAATATCGGCACATGTAGATCTATCCACCGTTCAGAAAAATATTCCTCCAGAAATCAGCAAAGTCGAATGCGACAAACAGCCTTCATGCTAAAAATACATTTTCATCCCATCCAAAAAATTATTCGATCTGGTGAAACAGTACGCCAAACCTGTAAAAAGGATTTTTAATCCCAATAATAATAATAATCGGGGAATTGTTGCCTGATGGTTATCGAAGAACTCTGTGACCCACTCATATCCCACTATCATTATAACATGAATTGTATTTTCTCACCTAACCTTGTATAAATTAGCATCTAAATATAAAAAGGAGACAACAGACGAAAAGAAGAAAATATAGGTTATTCAATTTTGGCAGTGGGGCCGTACGATAATTAGCGACAAGGTCAGTGTCTAGCCGTGGACGAAAGAATCGTAGACCTATATAAAGCACTGGAGGAAATATTCGTAGACCTATGTACAGCACTGGAGGAAAGAAGCGTAGACATATAAAGAGTACTCTGAGAAAGATCTGTGTCGAGAACTAGACGAAAGAACGCAAGCTTATATGTAGCAGTGTATAGAGTAATGGATTCCCATGTCAAGCAGTGGACGTCCAATTAGTGAATAGAAGGTGACATGTGATGAAAAACAGATCGGCTGACGAAAAAAAGAAATGACTCGACTTGTCAGTGAGCGTGACATCACTGAGCACGTGCAAACATCAAAGGATGCCGCTTTTTCCCACGGTCGGTAAAATTTTCCCAGCCTCAACCGTCGCAACCACTACAAGTCCAATACCGATACGTAGTTCTGTAATGAAACGATTCGATTTGTCGTGAACGTTGCTTTATCAGAAAATAAAATGAATATTGTAGTAAAAGAATTCTTTTTTTCGTCTTTATATATAGGAGGCTGGAATCTTCAAAATACATCTCAATCCAAGATGTCTTTTGAAGACTAAAGATGAGACCAAGATGAGACTAAATTACGAATTCGTTTGAAATCCAGTGACTAGAAATTCTCGGAAATAATTCTTATCAGTTCTTTGTATGTCCTTAATGAGTCGTTAAGGAGTCATTAATAATGACATTATAATTACGGTTTTAAGGTTACTGAAATTAGAAATTAACTTTTACCAATTTTATAGAGTATCAATTATTAAAGATGGTATTATAACAAACAAAAACTTTGGTATCTATAAAACAATATGTGTACAATCAAACTCCATTTATTATTTAAGTGAGTAATAATTTTGTAATTAGTGCGATTTCAAATAATTTAATTTGTTTAATGTTGCAACGCCACTGCATAGGTCTGATCATAGATATTCCATTGTCTGGCGAATAAACTATTTTGTGGAAGGGCTCGCCACTCGATTTTAAATAAGTCGTACCAAGTAATGAGCTGAATTAATATCGGTTCCTTGAAAACTTCTAAATGTCCGAAATAAAAACACTAAACGTATTTTCAATTAACAATGTGAATAATTTCCATTAAATATAATAGAAAATATATTTGTTAACTATCATAGCTAGAGTAATTTTGATAACGAATTTTAAAAAAGTGTCTAAAGGGTAGTAAAATTTTACTTTATTTATGTATATATACAGATTGAACCAAATTAAAACGGAACATACAATTTAATACATGTCTGTTTGAACTGCATTTGAAATAGTGGACCAATATAAAACTTGGACAAAAATAAATCCATACCTGGGTATAGACATGGTATAAAATATCGTTCAACTATCTGTCTCACAACAATGTTGTTTGCGTAAGACAAGTTTGTTTAAGGAAGCGATAATAGTTCAGGAAATGAAGCTCGAAAAAAGTTAAAACCTCGCAATTTTTTCGTCCTTCATGTATCCAGTTGAAATTTTAACAGAAGGTAGGTGATAGCCCAAGGATCAAAATCTATATCGAACCGAAGTGCGCTGAAGGATTTTAGGTATGAAAACTACCCCTAATTGTCAAAAAATATAAAATAACATATTAAACCTGAACATGGGTAAGGTTTGGTTTGAATTAGTTAAATAATGATTATTTTATACTTTTGAATAGAGTTCCATCATATTTCAACCCTTAAAAAACAACCCTTGTTAGAGATTAATGTAAAAAATTACTAATTCTAAAAACATTATTTCGCTTTGGATCGATTTGGATAAAAATTTGGATTTAAGCTCAATTCACCCGCTGCTTTATAGTTTATGTCATGTCGACCAACCTGATTGTTCTTAGGGGTGAAAACTACCCCTAATTGTCAAAAATTATAAAATAACATATTAAACCTGAATATGGGTAAAATTTGGTTTGAATTAATTAAATAATGATAGTTTCGTGCTTTTGAATAAAATTCCATCATATTTCAACCCTTAAAAAGCGACCCTTATTAGAGATTAATATAAAAAAATTAGTAATGCGAAGAAAATGATTTCACCTTGGAACGATTTGCATACAAATTTGGAATTAAGCTCAACGCACCCTCTGCTTTATAGTTTATGTCATGCCGATGAACCCTGATTGTTCTTAGGGGTGAAAACTACCCTTAATTTTCAAAAATTGTAAAATAATATTACAAATCTTAAGATGAGTGAAATTTGGTTTGGATTAGTTAATAGTGATTTTTTCATGTATAAAGGGAATTCCAGAAGGGTGAAGATCGATTTTAATTATGAAGGTGGTTAGGGGGTTGTTTTCATCGATTTTTTCGTAAAAAATGATGTATTGACCTTATTTTCATCATAACTCACTTAATTTTTTGAGCTAGAGTCTTTTTTATGATAGGTCTATTTATGCTCTTTAAAAAAGGTTTTGTGAGTTTTCTTCCAAAAATGCATCATTTTCCCGATATTTGACTTTGAATATTTCAAATTTGTCATTTGAAGAAAACCGCTGAACATTAATAGGCCGTATTTCGGTTCCTATTATATCGCAAAAACATTTTAAAAAATGAATTGTATTTGTCTTTTTAAAAGCTACAAATTTGTTCACTACAATTTTTTGATAAAATGCACCATTTTCGAGTTATTCGCGAAAAATCGATTAAAAACGTGGATTTTTTCGTCTAAAAAGTTGTTACTTTCAATCGCGAATAACATGAAAAATATCTTTTTAAAAAAAAAAGGGATAGCACTTTTTGTGTTTAGAATCACTTTTTTAATCGAAACCTGTAGTTTAAAACGTAAAAAAATTTTCACCCCGGAGATGGGGTGGCAACCACCCAATAGGCTTTGGCGCACTTTGGTTCGATATAGATTTTGATCCTTAGGCTATACCTACCTTCTGTTAAATTTCAAGTCAATTCACGCAGCACGAAAAAATTGCGAGGTGAAATGCTTCATTTCCTGGACTATAACTGGTTTGACAGCATAATAAAATCGTAGATTTATGTGTAGCTTTCAATTTTTATGAGTTCAGAATCCAGCAACCCGCTGAAGTATGGGATTTTTATAATATAATTATTTGACAATCTTTTGTTGGCCAACCACTTACACCAGAATTGAGCCGAAATACATTATATGCCTATGTTCCGAATTTATTTCGTTCAATCTGTATAGTATTTATGAGTATTATAGAATCACGTTCTTTATATCATTTATGTAAAATTTCCTATTTTCGCCCTTTTACATTATTTTATTAGTCTTTTGCCCTTTTAGTCAAAATGACAAAGTTTTATTTAAAACATCTCATCAGCGGTTTTTGATTACATAACATTTTTTTAATTATTCTTTTTACTAGCCAAACTAACACGGTTATCAGTGTAAATACACAAGTTAAATACCTCAACTGGGTAAATATTGTCTTCTATGAATCAAGAAATCCCCAGAGATATTTATATCTTTTACATAATTTAAATTCCAATTCGTGTACAAACTTAAAATAGCTGGGAAAAACAATACTTGTAAATATTATGTACCAGCTGAGGAGCAAAACAGTATTTGAAACAAAATATATTTAAAATAACATACATAAAACATATTTTTAAATACATATTGAGGCAGCGAGTAAACAGGAAATAAAAACATTTCCTAAGAGTGCATCACACACACAACACATATTGTTGGGTAACCAGAGATTCCATACTGTATTTAGCTTGTTAAGATGTATCGTTTCATAGGATACTGATGTCATACTTATTTCTACATTAATAGTTTCAAAATTATTTATAAAATGTTATATTGTATGTATTACATACTCTCAATATCGTCTCCTAGGAGAATTAGTAGGTTAATAGGAAATGCCTAAAAAAAGAGTACCTATTTTGCAAGAGTAACAATTATACAGGGTAGCACAAAGTGTAAGCTCGGCGGAAGATAATATTAATACAGTTTGTTCACGGATGGGGTTCCCAAAAATAAGAACTTTTTATTTATTTATTTTGTTTTTTAGTGAAAAATGACATTCTTAAAAAAGTTTTACTTTACTGAATGATCAGATGTAAAAGATCATATTTTTCAGGGTGTCTCATACAATACGTTGGACAATACTTTATATACCACGTTAAGTAGGGTGATGCCTCTATAATTATCACACACCATCATATCTCCCTTTTTGTGAAGAGAGTGCATTACACCTAATTTCCAGTCTGCGGGTGTTTCCTTCCGTTGCCAGATTTCGGTTACTAATTTATGCATGTGTATAAAAACTGTGTCACCACCATTTTTTGTTATTTTTCAGTTTTGAAATTTTTTTAGCATTAGAATAACTTGTAAAAAAATGTTAAACTAAAAATATTCAAAATTGTCGATTTTTTTCCTGCAATTTTCCTTGTCCAGCCTTTTTTACTGTGGCAGAATATTTCGAAGGAAAGAATTGAAAAACAAAATGAAATTTAAATTCGTTTTTTGGAAACTGTTTAGCAAAAATATTAAATTAGATTACTAATGTAGCGAAACTTAAATACAATTTGCGTAAGGATTTACCTCTGCTAGAAAAGTAAACCTTGAGATAAAAATATTC